AGGGAGAGAGGGAGCTCATCGGTCCCGTGTTTTTCCGCCCGACCAGAGCGAGAGAAAGAAGGAGAGATCGGGAGAGGGGGAGCATTCGCCCCCAGTTGTTCCGTCCCAGACAGAGCGAGAGAGAGGGAGCGTTCGGCTCCCTGGCGTGCTTGTCCGTCCCAGCCAAACCGAAAGAGGAAGAGAGGGGGAGGAGCCGTTCGCCCCCCCCCCCCCTCCTGTAGTTCTACGGCTCCTGCTCCCGACCAAGCCTTTTCCTCCTCCATACACTTTCTTGGGAGCTGAAGTTGAGTGAAGAGGAGATCTTGCATGCTATGATGATGTATTCTCCTTCCTTGGGCTGAAAAGAAGCTCTCTCCTGCTCTGCATAGCCTCATTTCCTTGCTTCTTGTGAGGTGAAGGTTTCTTCGTCATCTTCTTCACGCCGGTGACCTAAAAGCGACGAGAATGCTTTTGGAGCGTTCTTGGACGGCAAACTGCGTCCGGATGTTCGGACAGCAAATTCTTTCCGAAAAGCCTTGGACAGTATGCGACAACGTTGGAAAAGTTGGACAGCAGAACAACTCCAAAAGCTTCCAAACAGTAAAGCTGCTGTTTGGAAAGTTTGGACAGCAAGTGACAGCTTCCGTTAGCATTCAAAACAAAATTATCCTTCGAAACGCCTTGACAGCAAGTTGGAGCTGTTGAACTTTCAAACAATGCTTGGGAGGCTTGGGAGCACTTGGACAGCACGACACGATTCCGGAAAGGCTTGGAACAGAGGTCTTCTCCTTGGGAAAACCTGGGACAGCAATTTGGACTTCAAAAGAATTGGGACAGCAGCTTGGAGCTTGGAGCGGAGCTTGGACAAAGCTTGGAACTTGGATAGGAGCGCTTGGACAACCCGGGAAGGTAAAACACTAAAAACTTAGTGAAACCTAGGGTCCCCAAGCTTTGCTGTGTGGATGACGTCCCAACCATAGGTCCTTAGAAGCTTTTTTGTGCTTCCTAAAACCTCGTTTGGCTGTCCTCTCGCAAAACAATGAAATTCAGTGATTTCCGTTTGTTTGCTCTCTTGTGAGAAGCAAAGAGACATCATATGCGTGGGGTGGTCGATTTGTATCCGACAACCCTCAATGCATGTAAGAGCATTCATTTTTCCTATTACTATCGCTACAATCATCCTATGGGTAGAGGCATCATTTGATCTCAAAGTCAATGATGATGCATAGGTTGGAATTTAACTAGTTGCATGCATTTCTCATTTAGATGCATTGTCATAAAAAAATATATAGACATCCAAATTAGGAGAATTTTGCATGCATAATTTTAGTTTACTTCTTAGAGTTCTGTTTAATACATGTGTTGAGTTTAATTGATTTGGGCTTCTAGTCATTGTGAGGCATAGACTTCAAATGTCTATGTAAAAAATCTCACAACATAAAGAATCAAATAGCTTGTATCTTGTACCATACAAAACTTAGAGTAGCAAATTGAATTCATCCATAAATTGCATGCACCCTTCTTTCAAGAACGAGTCATGCAAAAGTGACTTACAAGTTACGAGAGATGTGCATGTGTGAAATTTGTGGACTCCAATGAGATTTTGGAGTGCTTGAATGTGGATTTAATTCAATCATTGAAAATCAAATCATTGTGAGGTTTCCATAGACTTTCCAAAGTCTATGTTGTAGATCTACAAAATGTTGTTGATTTAAGTTCATGTACAACATTGCAAAACAAATACTTGATTCGTTTCAATATAAATTCCTAATTTTAAGAATCATCTACACATGCATGCAATCTAGGTTCTTTTTAGAATCGTTACAAATTTGATCTTAAAATCTCTAGAAGCATAGGGATAGACTTTCATACCCAAGATTTTAGAATACCAAATTGATCTAGAGATTCTCCAAAACCTTAAAACAATCTTCCTCCTCCAATTGAGTCCAAAAACATTCATGAGAGGTGGGGAATCCCTTTCGTGCATATGTTGGAGCATTATCAAAGCTAAAAGTGTTTGAGTAATGAATCATTGGCAACTTGGAATCAAATCCAATTTCCTACTCCATGTTGTTACATAAAACAACAACTCTTCTTATGCAAGATAAATCTTCAAGGCTTTTGGACCAATCCTAAGCCAAACCTTTATTTGTTGATTCAAAATCAACGAATGAAATAACTATTATATGAATAGTAAAATATTATTCATTTTATATTTAAATATTAATCTAATATTTCAATATACTTCTATATGTCAAATTGCTCGGAAGTAAAAGTTGAATTTAATGAAAATAAGTAAACCTTTAGAGAAAGTTGGCGCTTACATTTTTTTTAACATTTTGAGGGTATTACATAAGGTCCTTAGGCCGTTGGTGCTGCAAGACCCTTATACCTCCTTGTTAGAGTGTGCTGGCAATTTATATGCTTCAGGGTTGACTTGCTTGATTTTGTAAAGTTTTTAGACTATCTTCACAGTAGTCGAAGTTCCTAATGAGTGTTTGAGAGATTAGCATCGAGGTGCTACCTTGGGAGTGTGGAGCATGAAAGTTCCAAATAACCCTTGTGCCATGATGAAAGAGAGTTAGAGATGGCTGAACTCGAGAATCGATGCAATGAGTAGTGATCCGACATGATAGTTTAGCAGCACCACAGTGCCACCTAGCCAGCGATGTGGTGCTAGATCAATTATTTGGGAAATAAATAAATATGAGGCTTAGTGTTCATCTTATAAGATTGGAAACTGGGAGAAACATGAGGGAGTGTGTGAGGCTACTTCTTGTGAAGGCTAGCACTTTTGTACTCATTATGTGAGTCTTGTATAGTGGAGAGAAGGGAGTAGTGCAAAGAAGTCTTTATTGATTAACAAAGGATTTTCGGGTCCTTTCTATCCTTATATTACAACAATAAAATGAAAATATTTGTAATGGTTAAATTTATCTCTGTTATTGGCTAAATATGATTTTTTGAGCTTATGATAATTTAGGAACCTGTATTACATAGTGGATTTATGATTTCATAAATTATTTAATGCTATCTTTAATTCCTCCATGATTCATATAGTTTGTGGATAGGCTGTGCATAAACCTAAAACCTAATATGATCTATACCCTTGATGGAGGAGTAAAAGAATAAATAGAGGTTTTAAAATATAATCTTACCATGCGTAAACATTTGGCGGTTAGTGTTATAATCTTACCATGGAGACAACTGTGGCAGAATTTCAGGAGAAACAAGGGATTTTGGCTGATAATATACAAGGGGAAACTGCAAATCAAGGGGTGGAAAGGAGGCTGAAAAGACTCATTCTCAGGTTATTCCAGAAAGTTTCAAGAGTATGAATAAATTTCAATTATTAGAAGATGAGATTGAAGAAGGGGAAGTCCTGGAAATGGGAAAGTCTGATAGTCTTAACAATGCCAAGCCTGGAGAAAACAATGAAGTTCTGGATATTGCTGATGTTAAAAATAATGCTACTGTTGAAGTTCAGATCAAGCCAGATCAATTGATCTCATTGACTAGCTCTGGGAAAGCAAAACTTTCAAAAGAATTAAGATCACTAGGCCCGGTGGAAGCTGTTCAAACGAAAAGGAAAGATGATAAGAAGAATTTTAAAATGATAGGGGATCACTCCCCTGTTATTTTATAATGGCGTCTCTTATTTTTTGGAACTGTAGGGGGGATAGAAAGAGGGAGGCCTCCCTATATCTTAGGGAGATTGTTAAAGAAAACGATTGTTTCTTTGTTGGTCTTACTGAAACGAAGATTACCTGTTTAGAAAGGCATGATATTGATTCCATTATTGGAGTAGATTGGGACTACTGTTTTCAACCTGCAGTTGGATTATCAGGTGGCATTTTGGTTCTTTGGAAAAGAAGTTTGGCTTCTTTTGAAACTGTGGAAGTTTCATCCCAATTAGTTATGGGAAACTTGAATATCAATACTTTAGGCAGTTGGAAGGTGGCTACTGTTTATGGTGGTAAAGATGTTCAAACTCGTAGAAATCTTTGGCATTCTCTTAAATCTTGTATGTAGGGTAATACTCCAGCTTTAATTGGTGGAGATTTCAATTGCCTTCTCACTAAAGAGGATAAGAAAGGTGGAAAAAGGTTCCATTTCTCTTGTGGACCTAAGGAGATGAAGATGTTCCTTACAAATAACGATTTCCATGATCTTGGCTATGTGGGTCCAAGGTTCACTTGGTGCAATAACAAAGATGGTAACTCAAGGATTTGGGAGAGATTAGATAGATGTTTAGTAAATTCTATTGCCTTACAAAAAATTCCTATGGCCAAAGTGAAACATCTCTCAAGAATTGCATCAGATCATGCTCCTATTGTTTTTAATATGGTGGAACCACAAAATTAGAAATCTAAATTCATCAGGTTTGAAGACAGTTGGAAATCTTACCCTGCGGTTTGGAACATTGCTGATAAGGCTTGGAAGAAATCTGATTATGGTACCAGTGCTGAAATTCTACATAGAAAGTTAAAAAGAACCTTGAAAGCTCTATACTATTGGAACAAGAACAAGTGTAAGGAATTAAACTTGTTGAAAGAAGATTTGAAAAAGGATATTTTAAAGCTGCAGATTGAAGAAGCTAGCAATGAAGACTTCACTGATGAAAAATTGAAGCTTTTTAGAAGTGAGGTGCACGATTTAAATGTTACTTTGGGTAGATTAGCCACATGGTGGAACCAAAGAGCAAAAGTCAAATGACATCAAGAAGGTGATAGGAACTCCAGTTTTTTTCATCAGTTTACCTCGGCAAAGAAGAATGGAAACCATATTTGGCAAATCAAGAATGAGAATGGTCAGTTTGTTGAAGATTTCGGGCAAATTGAGGAGGTCTTCTATGAGTTTTACAGTAAGAAATGGGCATCAAGGAATTGTCAGCTCTCGGGCTGGCCTTCAATTCCTAATAGCCGCCTTCAATTCCTAATAACCTGCAACTTTCGGTTGAAGAGTTCTTAAAGAATGATTTTACTAAAGAAGAGATGATAAAGGCAGTTTTCAATCAAGGAAATAACATGTCACGACCCGGCCCGGTTAGCTCGCGTAGGCGAGGCGGGAACAGAGGTCGGACGGTAGGTCAAGTATCTAAATTCCTAAATCTATCAATTCCCTAAATAAATCTCCAATATATTTTGAAAGAGCTACTATAACAATAAAGTTTGAAATCACATAAACATATAAGCAAACATATCTTCGTCCTTTCCTTTCTTCGGAGCTCCTGCCCTACGATAAACAATGCCGCCCCTTCTACTCATTGAATAAAATTAAGCTCACCTGAAAATGTTAACAACTAACATTAAGCTAAAGCTCAGTAAGCAATACACAATTCTAAACTAATAAACAAGGAACTGAATAATATGATAGATGCAAATTTCATATGAACATACATAAAATGATTCCATACTAACATAGCATTAAACATATCATATCATAAACCATATCTTTCATTTTCCTTTCATATCATTTAACATTATACATGTCTTTCTCTTTTTCGTATTTAATACAACCGTCACAGGAGTCACCGTCTGTACCATAAAGGTACACCTTTACCATTTTCCTTTTCCATATCCTTTACCATTTTATCGTGCACGAGTACAGCATCCCAGCTAGTACCATAAGGGGGTGAACTCCATCCTTTCAACATACACATACAAGCATTCAAATAGCATTCATATCATATCATATCTTTTCATCTCATAAATTCATAAATCTTTATCATATAATGTCATAAAATATAGTATAAACTTTGCATGATCAATCATTTGAACAGAGTAGTAAAATCATGATCTAAAATTAATCATAAAGATTGCCTATGAACATGTTGGAACTTTCAAACAAAGAACTGGAGAGAAACAAAAATATTACTGTAATAAAGAATCATGTATACTTACAGAAATCTTGAAATTGATTCTCCTTGCTAATCCTTCTTCCTTCGAGATTGCTTCAAAACACCTAATAGAGATAATTTCTTCTTCAAAATCATTATAATAAATCTAAATAATGCTCTCATTCTATTCAAAATCTACCCTAAGTTCATCCTTTCCCTCTCTCCAAAAGATCACATAAAGTATATCATAATCTAAAAACTCATAATTTTATCTAATTAATTAATATTAATCAAAATAACACTTTCTCCATAATCTAAATTAATTTAAAATAATTATATTTTCGGATTTACCTAAAACCCTAAATTTGGAAAACATCTTTTCATTAATATTGTTATTTATGCATGCCTAAACTTCCCATAAATCAAATTAATAATTTTTGGAAACAAATTTTCGGAATTAAAATAATTAGAAAATAGGAAAATACATTTTGTAAGAAAAAACTCAATTTCTTTTCTTAAAAACCCCTTTTGGACCTTTAGGAACAACTTTTGCAAAGGCTTTTCCAAAAACTCCAACTTTAGAGAAAACCCTAATTTTGGAAACCCTAGAAATCTTTGGAGAAAAACACATTCTAATGTATAAAATAGTTTCTTAAATCTTCCCTCTAAATTTCTTAAAGAAATTTTCATTATTCCATAAAACCCTAAATTCTTTATCTCAAAAATCTATGGCAAACATAAAGTTTTCTAGGTTTAGAAACATACCTTCTTGCTCCTTGAATCTCCCTCTTCGATTTCCCCCAAGTTCGGCCACCGGAAACCGCCGCCGGAGCCGCCGTCCGTCCCTTTCCCGACGCCTCTTCTCCGCCTCTTCTTGTGTTCGGGCGGAAGAATGCCGAGCGAATGAATGGGGAGGGGAGGGTTCGGTTCTCATAAGGAAAAAGAGAAGCCTAAATGACCTATTTGCCCTCACTTAAACTCTCTTAGCCTTAATAACTTCTAAGGGCATTATTGGTATAATGAGTCTTCTTTAATTTTTATTTCCCAAATTAAGCAAAATCAAATATAAGTTTTATATACCAAATTTCTTAGAATTTTGCGTAGAATTTTATAAAATTAATCCAGTCGAAATCCGACAACATTGAATTTTTCACTTAAAACTCGTCGCGGCGCTTTGAAAAGCGTGCGAGATCTAAAACGGCATTTTTTCGGGTTTTCACATAACAAGTCTCCAGGATTAGATGGTATCACAACATCTTTTTTCAAATTTTTTTGGAAAATTGTGGAAGAAGACACTTGGAAGGCGATTGACAGTTTTTTTAAGACTGGTTCTATGCATAAGGATTGGAAGGATATGTTGGTAATCTTAATTCCAAAAATCAATAATCCTACCATGCCGTCCAATTTTAGACCTATAAGCCTTTGTCAAACTACCTACAAGATTGTGGCCACTATGATTTTGAATAGAGTAAAGAATTGCATTTCCAAATGTATCACTGAGGAACAAGATGCTTTTATTAATGGTCGCTCATTGTCGGATCATTGCCTTATTGCTCAAGAAATTTTTCACAAGCTTAGAATCACAAAAAATAAAAAAGGTTTTATGGTGGTTAAAATTGATATGGAGCAAGCTTATGATAATATGAGTTGGGATGCTTTAGAACAAGTGCTGAAGTTGCTTTAGAAGAAGTGCTGAAGTTGTTTGGCATGCCGGCAAAGATGATTGTGCTGATCATGGAGTGTGTTAAAAGTGCCAGATTTTCTTTCATCATTAATGGTAAAGCTTCCAAGTGGATCAATGCAACAAATGGTTTTCGTCAAGGTTGCCCCCTCTCCCCTTATCTCTATATTTTATGCTCTCAACTGTTTTCTTTAGCTATGGCTCAAAATGGTCAAGAGTTGGGAATTCAAACTTCACAAAGATCTCAAAAAATCAGTCATCTCTTATATGCCGATGAAGTGTTGATATTCTCTCATGCTTCCAAACATTTGGCAACTAAATTAAGAAGCATAGTTTTAAAATTCTGTAATTGGACGGGTTTTAAAGTTAACAATACAAAATCTCAAATTCTTTTTAGTAAATCCATAAGAAGAAATGAGAAGGTCAAAGTAAAGAAAATCCTGAACTTCAAAACTTTTGAAGAATTACAATACTTAGGTGTTCAACTACTGCTTAGAAGATCAGTTAGAGCAGATTTTCAGTTTCTCATTGTCAAAGTTTTGCAGAAATTAAACTCTTGGGGCAGTAAAAGCCTATCTTTGGCTGGAAAACTAACTCTGGTGAAGACATCGCTTTTATCTCTTCCAAATTTTGTCTCAACACATAATATGGTGCCTAAGAAAATTCTCCAGGAGATAAATAAATGCTGCAGAAATTTCATTTGGAACAAGAAAAACGGCAAGAAGGGGATGCATTATGTTTCAAGGAGCACTCTATGCAAATCTAAAGACAAAGGTGGGATGAATTTACATTCGGCTGTTGATAGAGCAGGGCCACTTAAAGCTAGATTAATGTGGATGATGATTCAAAGGCCTGAATCTTTACTTTCACGGGTTGTTTCAGCTAAGTATGGAGATAAGATCTGGAAAACTAATTACAAGAGTAATACTTCTATTGTCTAGAAAGTGCTAAATGATGGAGCAATATACTTGAAACCACTTTTGAGGTGGAGAATAGCTAATGGGAGAAGTATTGATGTTGTTAATGATGTATGGCTATTAGACAAGAGCTTCAAGGATTGGCCTATCATAGCTGATTGCTTGGGTTTGGAAGGATTAAAACTCAACCATTTCATTTACCCGATGGGAGCATGGAAGACAGATGAATTGCTCTGTTTCTTTAATGAGAATCTGATTGCGGTAATTGTACAAATCAAGATTGAATGGGAGGTTCCTGGAGACTTCATGGAGGAAATTCATTCTTTATCAGGCAAAATGATTACAGCACGGGCATATGAGACACGTTGCAGTAACCAGCAAGATAGTGAAGCAGATTTTGGATTTACCATTTGGTTAAAAAAGCTTAAAATGACGCCAAGGGTGGAAATGTTTTGGTGGAGGTTGAGTAGAGGTGTTATCCCAACTAATTAGTTCTTAAAATTCAGAAAAATCAGTAATGATGATCAATGTGCTAGAAGTTGTAAAGAAATTGAAAATCTGTCACACGTCTCAGCTAAGTGCAAGCATTTACAAGATATACTGAGGAAAATCCAGGAATGGGGTATTATTGAGCTAAAACGTCTATCTAAGATAGCACCTAATATTGTTATTCTTTATTGCAATGTTGTGTTCAGGAATTGGAAAAACAGAAACGAGGTGGTTCATGGCAAGAGTGCTAATACGGTTTCAGCAACTGCAGCAAATGTGTTATCTACGGCTTTTTTATCTTCTAATCCTCTCATTGCTAGCTGGGGTGCTAACCTCCCTAGGGAGTTTAAAACTATTTTGCACCCTCCACCGCAAGGATGGATTAAGATCAATGTGGATGCTGCTCTCCTTCCTTCTTATAATGCTGGAATTGGAGGATGCTTTAGAGATGATCAAGGAAGATTATTGGTGGCCTTTGGGGAGAAAAGAATTCATTGGGACATTGCAAACCTTGAGCTAGCAGCAGTGATCTCAATCAGGAAATACTTGCAACCGTGGATGGTTGAATGCAAAGGTCTCATCATAGAAGGTGATAACATCAATGTTATCAGATTCATTCAAGATTCTTTGAATAAGGCGAAGTGGCAAAGCTTCAACCGGATAGAGGAGAATCTTCTATTCTTAGCCGATTTCAGTAAGGTAATTTTCAACCATATTCATAGGAATGGTAATAGAGTAGCCGACATGTGTGCTACTATGGCTTTAGATTACAACTTTTATTTTGATAGTTTTTCTTTTGCAAACATCCCTTCTTCTCTAGGTTCTCTTTTGAAGAAGGAATGTGAACATTTGCTTTAGTTTGTTCCTTGTTTTTCTTTCTTTCCTTTAATGCATATGCTATTGCAATTTTCAAAAAAAAAAAAAATAGTGTTATGAGGTCTTAAAGAGATAGTAAAACTATAGTTGGGAGGAATTCTAGCTAATACTCCAACGAGCTAGACAAAGATGCGTACTTATGCTATGATTCACAGTAAAAATAGGAAAAAATCTCTTTATTGTTAGTATCATAGGTTCAAAATTTTAAAAATTATTACATGTCTTTTGTAACTGTTGGTTTTTTATTTTTGACTGCATCAGATTTGATAATTGACTAATAAGATAAATATAGTAGTTTTATTAAGCAGTGCTAGAGTGAGCTTAAGATGAATTCAATTCATCATGAGAAAAATAATTATCTCATCACTTTGTTACTTGACATGACACATGCACTTGCTTAAATTATGATTTATACCTTGGCATAACAAATAATAGTTAATACATTAAGTTGCATGTGGAATTACCTGTCAAGTTTTTGGCATCATTATCGAGGATTTGAAGTTAATTATTCTTTCATGCATTTTATAGTGCTAAAGAAATTGTTAATTTAATATTGTCCTTATTTTTTATTTATTTTTCTTTGTATTTTACAATTTTCCTATTTTGTTGCTTACTAATGTATATGTAGTAAGAAACAACAAGTAAAACTTTCATTTGATGAGATACTTTAGCAAAGAAGATACTTTTATAATTTGTACCCATAACCTTTGGAGCTTATTGAGGGCAACCTAAACTTCACTTCCAGCCCACACCCCCGAAACATGAACTTTAAGTCTGAACTATTAGTAGAATTTGTTAATTACATTATTCATATTGTGTTTGATGGGATGTTAGTTTCAGTACAAAAAAATTGGATAAACACATCAAGCTTTTCGTCCCTTAAGCCTTTCATTCTTTGCCTGAATTAATCTATTTAGTCCTGTAATAAAATAATACAATTTCTTATGTTCATTTCATTTTGCTTATTTTCTTTTCCTTGTTTCCTTGTCCTCTTTTTTTTTTTTTTTATTATTTTTTTATTTTTAAGAATGATTTTACAAGTTATTTACACTACAGTCAATATGGTTATTTGCATATGTTAGTGGACTTTTATGATTCTTAACCAAAATTCTAGTTATCTAATCCTTGTTCTCTTTTGATTAACCTTATATGTTGATAAATTCCTCTAATATTATAGCTTAGAGCTTTTCAATGGGCATGAGTTCAATAAATGGGTGGAGAAAGGAGTAGCACCCGCCATAAATTCTAGCTTGAAGCTATACATGGAAGTTCTTGACCTGGGATTCAAGATTTTTTTATTGACTGGTAGGAGTGAAGCACAAAGGGCCATTACAGCAGATAATCTGAATAGTGTTGGCTTTCAAGATTGGGAGAAGCTTATTTTAAGGTAATT